TCTAACAAATTTTCGTTTCTTTTATCTGAGTTCAAGGAATTACTTGACGATAAACCATCATTTCTGGTTAAAGAACGTGCTAATGTAATACCATTTTCCCACGACATCCCATTCCCGCGGCGCATTCTTAATTCGATTTGACAGTTCTCTGTTGTGTTATTTTTGTTTTTCTTCGCTACAAAATGGATGCAAAATGTAAGTTACTGTTATAGATTGTTGAATTAAATTGGTGATGTATTTATTTACTATATTTTTAGTACACAGAAAAAGTGCCAGCAAGTGGAACCATGCAGGCGAGCGCGCTTTATTGGAAATATGGGGGTGAGAAGATGTGCGATAGGGGTATTCTATTTTGGGTTTTTTTTTTTTTTAATTTACATGCCCGTACACGATGAGAAACATTAAAAAAATTATAACTGCGTTTTTAGTTTTTTTTTTTATTCAAAAAAGTACACGCACCAAACGATTGTAAAATTTATATGCGCATATACACACAAACATGTACAAATACATTGGCCATATATGTATTGCTGTTCACTTTCTAGTTCTTATTCTTATTTTCTTTTGTTGTTTTAAGCGGAAGAACAAGCAATCAGCTGTTCACATGCTATCACCATGTTATGAATTCGCCTTGGTTGTGGTAAATATTTACCGCTATTTTGAAGGCAGAACTGAGTACTTCTCTGCCTTTATTTTCTTTCTGAATTGATTCAAGCAGTTTACTTTTTTTGTGCTCTCTGATCATAAACAATTAACATTTTTAAACAGTGGAAAAAAATGAGTTTCAAGAAAAGTTCTAATGCAATTTCAAGAAATTCGCAACGATGGGAAAACTCTTTGATTCGCTTCGAGAAAAACAAAAATAGACGGCAAGAAATAAAACAGGTTGATAAAAATTTGAACGCATTTTGCAGAATACCTAAGAAGACTGTTATAATAGGTAGATATAACTCATTGGCAAACGTCGAAAAAAGTAAAAAAGCAAGATTTAAAATTATTGCCGACGAATTGCTGGATTTATGGACAAAATTAAACTTTCCCAGTATAGCTAAAACTTCAATTGAAAGAAAAGTAGAAAATCTCTTAAAAAATTATTCGAAGTTTTTAAAGCGACCTAATGGAAAAGTTTTTGTAGTTTTTGGACAATTGTTTGATATAACCAATCCAAATGGCATTTGGCTGAGTGTTGAGGACAAAAAGTTGTATGCACTTCAACAAAATTCCAATGGAGATGTTGGATACACCACTGAAAAGAAAACAAATATTCATCCATCAAAAATTTCTTTACTTAAACCAGTCACCGTACAAAAGAAAAGTGTTGTAAATGCAAGTGAATCTGATACAACAATATCGTCCCTGGAAGGAGATAATGAATTGTATCACCCTGAAACACCTACAAAAAGACTTAGAAAAGTCAAGTGTCAAACAAAGATCGCAGTAGACATGATAGAGAAAACAAGTTTGAGTAGCAAAAAAACAACTAAAGTATGTGAAATATTAGTGAAATCAGGCATTGATATTCCTGCACCCTCACAATCTGCCGTATATAAAGCCTCAATGAAATCAGCCGAGCGATTGGAAGCAAAATATATGACAACGTTACAAAAAGAGAATTGGTGTCTTCATTTTGACGGCAAAAAATTTGGAAAAAAGGAAGCGCAGGTAGTGGTATTGTCAAATGAAACTAAAGAAGTGCGAGTAGCGGTAATTGTGCTTGAGAATGGGAAAAGTGTCACAATATTTGAAGGTAAGAAATAAAAATTAAGATTTTATAATATAAATATAATATAAATTTATATATAAAAATATACATTTCTAACTCTACTTACATTTACAGGCATAAAGGAAATTCTAGACCGATTTTATTTGTGGAACTCAATTAAAATGATTGTATGTGATACAACAAATGTGAATACCGGGAAAAAAAATGGAATTGTTCATTATCTACAATCATGCTATGAAGAAAAATGTTTGACACCGCCACAATATGTTGGTTGCCAACACCATGTTTTGGATTTAATTCTGAAGCATGTAATGAATGAATTACTTGTCGCAAAAGCAATATCACCACATATTCCCTACGAAATATTTTCAGATTTAATAACTGATTTTCAAAATCTGAAACAAAGCGGCGAAAAAATGAAAATTCCTAATATCAAATGGCGCGATGACATGCAGTATTTGTATGAACTTGGACAATACTTTAAGTATTATCAAAAACATAACGTTTTTCCATACATTAACTTTCGAGTTTTACCATCGCTCAGTAACGCCCGTTGGAACTCCAGAGCTATTCTTGCATTGCTCACATTTATACTCCTTCCCAATCACAAAGCAAAACTTTTACAAGTTTGTCAATTTATATGCAGTGCTTGGTACGAAGTATGGTTTTCCGACCAAAGTTTTCGCAACAAAAATTTTGAATGCTTGGAAGAATCTGTGAAGCCGTTCAAAACTGCCCATCAATGTTTAAAAAAACACTGGGTGAAGGAAGATTCAGCCTTTCCAAATTTAAAACGGTCTAATATATGTGCCGAACGAGCCATTAAAGAAGTGAAAGATTTATATTCATTTTGTAAAAATGAAAGAACCTTAAATTTGAAATTTATTTCTTCTAATGTCAAATTAAATAACTAATAAATTAAATAATTAATAAGTATAACAAAACAAATGCAAACGAAAACAAATAGCAAAGCGGTCAACACCAATACATATATGGCCAATGTATTTGTACATGTTTGTGTGTATATGCGCATATAAATTTTAAAATCGTTTGGTGCGTGTACTTTTTTGAATAAAAAAAAAACTAAAAACGCAGTTATCATTTTTTTAATGTTTCTCATCGTGTACGGGCATGTAAAACATAGGTTACAAAAATAGAATACCCCTAATGAGCGAGTTGCGTGGCTGTAGAAAAAATAGCCATATACTTCAGGAAATGGCTGCGATGCTCGAAAGCCATGGATTCTGTTACACGGTTNGCTCGAAAGCCATGGATTCTGTTACACGGTGGCGGAGGTCAAGACAAAAATGCACAACTTGAGCGCCCGATATCGGTAAATATTTTTACTTGTTATTATGCTTATGAAAAGTTATTTGGTGGGCATTATACCCGCCGCGCATGCTCTTTTCGCGCGAGTGTTCGTGCTAGTGGCAGAGAACTTAGATAGATAGAGAAAGTGCAAATTTTTGGAACGTAAAATTGTTTGGCTGAAAAATAAATCTACGGAATATCACCACATCGCGATTAACATTTACACAAGAGTTAACAGAAAAAAAAGGTAATTATTCTGTTATGATAATGTTATGTTACAAGTGCCTGGCTGTGTTGCTAGGTTGCTGGTGAATGCAGAAACATATTCATGTATATGTTTTTATAAAATTAAATAAATTAAAAGTTAAATTATATGAATTGTACTTTTATATCAGTTAGCATTTCGGATCTTCATATATGCATGACCATTTGTTAAATATAATTTATTGAGTAGTTAATATGTATATATAAATATATGTAATATTTGTATATAGTAGGTAGTAAAAATGCATGTTAGTTGAAAAGAATTTTAAAATTGGTAAAGAATTCATATTAATAGTTTTGATTAATTACAAAAATATGTAAATTGTTTATATTGTATTAGGTTATATGAAAATTCTTGTTCGAAGAAACATACATACATATGTATGTGCCAGTGTATGCTCTCACTGCAAACCTTATGAAAATTATGTACACATTAGAGGTATACGCCGCCGAGCCACGCCGCCGCCGCGTTGGGCGCCTAAGTAATTTTGTACAAAATTTTCATGATGTATGCACATTGAAATAAGTACATTGTTTAAAGGAACTAAATACTATTCGTATAAAAACACTATTTTACGAAAAGAAATTTACTTTTTTATTTAAAGGAGGTTTTTTGCATAATACGGGGCACTGAACATTTCCAAAAAAGCGTAACTCAGAAAAAACATAGGTAACACGTTTTTTGAACGAAAGCGTTTATTACAGTTAAATAGGGTCGAATACTGGTAATCTGACGATTTTTTCCGCAGTAGACAAATTTTTTCCATATTACTTTTTTATATACTACAACAACAAGAAAGTTACAACACAAGAAAAACTTTAACGCCAATATCTCAGAAATCAGTTTTAACAGAAGCGCCCTTATTGCATCTAACTCCTCAATTATTGGAGATAAAAGAAAGACTAGTTGATTTTCCTGTGTATTTTTTTTTTTAATATTTTAAACACACTTTTATTAAAAAGCAAACACTTTTTTTTGGTAATTTTTACATTAGTAAGTTATTTTATTCTGGAGTCCCGCAGACGAATGCAAGTACTAGGTGGCTGTGTGAAAATTACGTTAGCACTCCTAATGGGCTGTTTTTGCTTACGCGTAAAATCACATTTAGCACATTTGGCTCTAAATGCTACTCTAAATGTACATTTATCCATACAAAATTCGTCACCTAAATGCAACTCCATTTTTGCATTAAGAATCTAAATGCTAAAAGCAACCCAGTGATCTTCCAAAATTTCCCCGATTCGAACATGGTTTAAAGAGAAAAAGTGGCAACATTGCTTTTTCGAGTATACAGTTGCTAGCTGCGTTTCAGTGATAGCCGATCGAGATTTCTTTTATTTTACATTACATATTTGGATAAAGAAAAGTTAAGCAAATTCAACATCGATGTGATGCTGATAGAAATCTGGATCAATTTGTCATCAACTCTGTTTGGTTTGTTTCCTAATTAAGTGGGGAAATTTTAATTGACAGCACCGACAAATGAATATATACACAAACAAATGTTCGGTTATGGTTAAAACAATTCAAGTTTTTGAATTGAATTTTTGGTTTAAAATTTATTTTTTCCTTTTCAGTAGGGTTTTTGCACATTATCTTCTGCGTGAGAATTGATCGTAATATATACGCATCTAAATAAGAGACTGGAACACGGCTGTTTGTCAAAAGCATACGACTTCGAACTCGCGTAAATGTACATTTGCATGAACGCTCTTCGAAAACATATGTTCGAAAGTGCTAAATGTTGCATTTTAAATGCAGCAAAAACGCTGCATAAGTGGTGGTCAAATCCCAGGAAGGTTTTGCTCCCGCACATCGCAATGTCTTCTACACTGGGTTAAAGTTCCCCGTTTTGGTAAAAGTACTATTATTTTTCTTTACGTTCGGTTCTCCTTAGAAAAATTTGGCTCTTAATATTTTAGTGGAAATTTTAACCATCTATAAGCCATTTTTTAAACAGTGAGTCAAAAACGCCCGTTCTGGTGGGAGTTGATGAGTTAAAAATTTGGAAAAAGTAGACCAAACCCTGTTCTCAATATAAAACCCACAAAAAATCGTAACAACTCCGTAGTTTAACATAACGGTTGATAAGAGTATTGCAAGAGTCTATTTATGGCGACATAAATTACCCCAATAACTTAACTTTTTAATTTTTTTTATTTCTTTAAATTTAAATAGTACATACGGATTTGTAGAGAATATAGAGATATATGTATATACTTCAGACTTCCTTCTGTTCGCCCATCCATCAGCGGCAGACACTCAACATTTTAATTCAAGTAGAAAGTAACGTAATTTAAATTTAAAACTGCTTCAATAAATGAATTAAATACAATTACAATCTGAATTGGCATGCCGAATGCCTAACGCTGACGAGATGACATGATAAGATTAGTAGCCTCGTGGCTCTTTGGATTCTACCTTATGGGCAGGAGCGCCGGCGTTTCCTGACGCGCCGATTCGTTTTGAAGTTAATCACGCCGCCGGGGCAAAGCCTGTCGGCGTAAACCTCTAGTACACATGCAATTGGCAAACTCTTTGGTGATTTGTCGTCGGCATTTCAAAGGGGCTTTTGGTCGAAAAAATCTATTTTTTTTTTCTTATGGTAGCTGCTATGCTATTTACATATAATGCAACAAACCACAATTTTCTAGCTGCTTTAGTTTTTTCACAATTTCACTTTGAACATGGACACATTGACAAAAAAAAACGTACAAATGCAATGCACTTGTTAACTTCAAGGTGTTTTCTTGAAAAGTTATTTTTGAGTTTTATGAACATTTATTTTGAGCAAGTTGCATGGTCATTTTCCACTGCAATACTCGTATTATCTATATATTAATACGCTAACATAAATTTTTTCCTTTTCTTTATCACAGGGACCGCAAATAACGATTATCCTTTGAAATTTCAACTCAAAATATCACGCGGAAAGCGGAATGCTACGTGCATAAGGAGTAAACCAATATATATATATTAATACGCTAACATAAATTTTGTCTCCGTTCGTTTGGCGATTCTACCGAACCAAGAACACCGTTGGAAAGGCATTTTTCCGTAGATGGACAGAGTTTTTATGGTTTTACGATTGATTGAAAATTACGGCCAAAACCGTCGTTTAAACATTTTCGAATTGTGTATACATGTTGCTGCAATATGTTCAATTTGACATGTTTCGCCTGTTGTTTCACTACACATTTGAAATTAAGCTTTGAAATAAAGATAAATATGAAGATGAAGAAATAAATGATAACGACCAAGTAAAAAAAAGAAGGCAAAAGTGAAGATAAAGACGAAAATGAAGAGAATGACAGGTACATAAGAATTACGGTAACTGAAAGGGTAAGAACATTTCTTGAATTTATGAAGTGAAACTTCTTTAGCGGCAGTTGGTTGGTTGGGAGTAAATTGTCAAATTCAATGGGAATAATGCACATGGAAGTAGTTCTCAGCGGTTTAGCGGTTTGAG